GTTTTCCCTCAAGGCTGTTGAATGTGGGTTAATAGTTTTACATGCCTCTTAGATCATTTCTAATAGAAAATTCCTTTTCCTCCTAAATGAGAATTAACTGTATTTGAGCTCAGAGGGTTTTTTCCTAATGCATTCGGGTTGTGGATAATGACATTTATTTCTCATGGGCCCAGCAGCCAAATCTGGAATAATCCCATTCAATTCAAGAGACATTTATGGAGCTTTGGTTCTTTGCGAGATACTTTTCTTGGTCCTTGTGCTGTATAACAACGGGTAGGATGCTGCGGTACTAAAACAACAATGACAAAAATCTGTAACAGGGAAACACGTGTTAATATCACCCAAGTGTGTAAGCTGAAATAGATCACATGGTGGGGTGGCTTTGTGGAACGAAGCGAGATGGGGGAGGGGGAGGGGGGCTATAATTTATTCAGGAAAGACTGTTGGCTCTTTTTGGGAAACTGCAAGTCATCTGTCAGACGAAGCCGAGAATCAAAGAGTTAAAACAAAAGGTGAGTTGGGGACCTATAGTAGAAGATCATGGTTACAAGTTTATTCATAAATCCGTGGGCATTGGGAGCCATTGAAGGTTGAGGCAGGGAATGATAGAATCTGAATTTGCAGGATTGGGAAGGCCAAATGGAAATTGTGAAGGGCTGGAAGGGGGACCAGTTTACAAGCCTAGTGCAGCAGTTCAGTTCCAGAAGAGTCTTAGCTGGGATGTTAGGAGGAAATAGATGAGAAATTGGCCCTTCTTATCTGTGCTTCTGAATCTGCAGGTTGAACCAACGGAGGATCATGTAGTACATATTTCTTGAAAAAAAATCCACGTGTAAGTGGACCTGCCTTGTTCAAACCTGTGTTGTTCAAGGGTCAACTGTATAAACAAGAGAATTGACGCTCACATAAAAACTTATACAGGACTGTTCATAACAGCATAATTTATAATAACCCCAAAGTGGAAACAGTCCAAACGTCCATCCCCTGGTGCATGGACACACAGGATGGTCCAGAGGAGATGGGACTATTCCATGCCTTAAAGGGAGGCACCAGAGAATATGGGTCCACGTTGTCCCAAAGACTGGAGAGGAGGTAACTGGGGGCTGGAAGAATGAAAGGAGACATTGTGGAATGGAGAGAATTGCATTGAGCTCTAGGAGAGTTGAAGCCAGAAAGTTCTAGAAGGAGCCCAGTAACTAACATTTCCAGGCAGGGAAACAGCTGAAGCAAAGCCCTGGAGGCAGGAAAGCAAGTTGGACATGCAGAGGATGGGAAGTGGAGGTCCTTACAGAAGGAGTACTAGGGAGTGCAGAGTGGTGGGGCTGGACTAGATGGGCTCTCAATCCAGGACTGGGGAAACTGGGGGACCTGGTGGATGTCAGGTCTCAGCACTCGCCACCTTTCCCCTGACCCTGGCCCCTTGGCCAGGCCAGCAGAGCCCATGCATGTGGCCTCCTTGTACGGGTTCCTGGTGTGAGAAACCACCTTCCCTCAGAAAAGAAATCCCGCAGGGCCCTCCTCCCCTGGGGCTGGATACGTGGCCTTTTGCAGGTCCCGGAAGTCTGGGTCTTATTGTTTTCATGTCCTAAAAGACTTCAGAAAGGAGAGCTTCTAACTCCCAGTGGCGCTTAGCTTCACTCTTTAAACATCTGGGTCACAGATATGCTCAGTTAGTTAATGTTCTGAGCGCCGCTCACGTGCCTGCTGGGTAATAGATTGATTCATAATTTCAATAAGCAGCTGTGTGTATCTTTCCCCTGAACATAAAGGCAGCTTGCTGTCGTTCATCACTTTGCATTTGATGAATTTAAACACATTCAGAGAGACGTTGTTGAAAGAGGGATGGGGCGGGGCTTCTGATTTTTTTTTTTTTTTTTTACCATTTTGCCTCTAACAGTTATTCTGATTTGGAACTAATTTGGGTTTAAAACACATGTTAACCACATCTCTCTCTCAAGGGCATTTAATAAACTCCTGTCACTTGTTCCTGAGGGGATCAGGCAGCCTCCCTTTGGGGATCAGAACAGAGGGTTTCTGACAGCTTTCACCAGAAGAGAGAGCCCCTGCGGAGCATCTTATCCCCTGATGAGGCACTTGTGTCCCGGGGCAGAGCTACTTTTCTGCTCCATTCCTGGCAAGAAATGCCCAGGCTTTCAGGAACCCAGGATCATCTGAGAGGAGGTCCCTCTGCTGCTCAGCTGCTGGGCCAAGGCTTCCAACCATCGAATCTCTGGGGACCCAAGGATAAAAGCCAGGACCCAGCCAGGTGACCAGATGTGTTCATGCCTGTTTCCTCTTCTTTGAAATGGGAAGGTTAATAGCACCTACCTCACAGGTTATTGTAGACATTACATAATTTATTCTCTGTACCATGCTTAGAAATGGGGCAGAGTATGCCTCCAATATATGCTGACTGGTAATATTATTTTGTAATGGATTAGGCATCCGTTGTATATTAATAATGATCATCACTCCTGCTCTAGACGCCTCATAGGATCATGAGAATGAACGTGAAGATTGTGCTTGCCTCTCGCCAACCTGCCCTGGAATCATCTCAGTGGGAATACAGCCCCATCCTTGTATTCTCAGTGCCTGTCCCCAGCCTGGGCACATAGAGGACTCTTCAAAACATGTTTGTGGAGTTTAAAGGAATAGCCATGGCTGCATTTTGTAAATGATGATGTTGATCGCATTTGTAATGTGCTCATTCACAAACATGTTCGGAGCCCTTGGTATGTGATTGTCTCCTAGGAAGAATGAAATAAATTGGACACGATCCCTGCCCCAAAGGAGCGTGAAAGACAGGTGAACGTATCTGTTCAGAAGTTGGAATACAGGGCTTTAAACAACGTGGGCAACCAGGAGAGGCCAAGACACCAAACTAGTACGGACTCACAACTAGTTGTGAGAAGGATTGTCAGGCACTATCATCTGTGTATCAGATAGCTATTGCTGCGTAACAACTACCCCAAAACTTAGTGGCATGAAACAATATGTATTTATTTATTTATTATTGTTTACAAGTCTATGGGTCATCTGGATGGTTCTGTGATCTGGACCAGGTTCAGATGATTTGGGTCAGACTCATTCGCGCATCTCCCATCAGCCAGCAGCTCGGCTGAGGGCCGCCTGATCTACGATGACCTCATCCACTTGTCTCGTGGTCGACTGGCTGGTTGTCTGGACCACGTGGCTATCATCCTTTAGCAGAGGCCATCCTGGCCTTACTGCCATGGTGGCTGTAGGGCTCCAGGAGGGTGGAAATATGCAAGGTGTATACCAGCAACAGTCGCATCCCCCTTTCTGCTACATTCTGTGGGCCAAAGCAAGTCACAAAGCCAGCCAGTATTCAAGGATGAGTAAACAGACTCCACTTCCTAATAGAAATTGCAGCAGTCATATTGCCCAGGGCACATAGAAAGATGTGGCCTTTTTGGGAATCTACCCAATGCTACCTAGCATTTGTTGCAGTACATGGAGCCTGGAGCAAGTACCAGGATGGGGTTGCGCATTTAGGGTATTTCTGCCTTTTCATCATTAGAAATAACATTGCAATAAATACCCTGTACATAAACGTTTTTCTTCCAGTTTTACTGATGTAACTGACATACAGCACTGTATAAGTTTAAGTGCACAGCATAATGACGTGACTTCCATAATCATGAAATGATAATCACAGTAAGTTTAGTGAACATTCATCCTCTCTCCCGGATACAAAATTAAACAGAAAGAAATTCTTTTTCTTGTGATGAGAACTCTTAGGATTGACTGTCTTAACTTTCATATATAACATACACCAGTGTTAATTATATTTACCGTGCTGTACATTACATCCCTAGTACTTGTTTATAAGTGGAAGTGTGTACCTTTTAGCTGCCCTCATCCAATTCCTCCTCCTCCCCACCCCTCTACATAAACTTTTGTTCACAGTTCTAATTATTTTCTTGGGATAGATTTTTTTTTTTCATTTTTCTTTTCTTTGGCCGCACCTCATGGCTTACGAAGGGATCTTAGTTCCTCCACCAGGGACTGAACCTGCACCCTCGGCAGTGAAAGTGTGGAGTCCTAACCACAGGACCACCAGGGAATTCCTAAGATTTTGTTGTTGTTGTTGTTGTTGCGGTACGCGGGCCTCTCACTGTTGTGGCCTCTCCCGTTGCGGAGCACAGGCTCCGGACGCGCAGGCTCAGCGGCCATGGCTCACGGGCCCAGCCGCTCCGCGGCATGTGGGATCTTCCCGGACCGGGGCACGAACCCGCGTCCCCTGCATCGGCAGGCGGACTCCCAACCACTGCGCCACCAGGGAAGCCCTCCCAAGATTTTTTAAAGTAGATTTATTGGGTCAAAGGAGAGAAACATTTTAAAAGCACACTGCTTATATTTTGCAATTCCTTTTTGAAAGGTTGTAGTAATTTACCCTCCCTCCAGCCCATCTTAGGCTCACCTTGACAAAACACAAATAATCGCTTTTTTTAAAACGTGGTGTCTCATTGTTTTGATTTATTTTAATACCTAGGAGGTTGAATGCTTTTTCATATGCCTGTTGCTTCTTCGGTGAACTGACTCTTTGGGCCCTTTTGCAGCAGGGTAGATTTAATTAATCCCGGTTTACAAATGAGGAGGAAATGGACGCTCAGAGAGGTTAATTGACTTGTTCAAGGTGGCCCAGCCAGCTGGAAGCAGAGCCAAGCTTTAGAAATCGGATGTCCCGCTTTTTCACTTATTCCTGCTCCCTGCGTTGTTGAACAGAAGGCCAGACTCCTGAAACATTGACCGAGGACATGCTTAGAAGGAAATCAGGGAGTGGTCCAGGGAATCTGTATGCAGGCTTAGCAAGCCGTGGGCTTCCTGGACGGGGTGCCCCTGTGAGTTGGGTGTGTGTGTGACAGGCCTGTGAAGGTGGCCGGGACTGCAGCATGGACAAAGTCCTGGGTGACCCATGTGTCCCTCGTGGTCTCACCTCTACCTCCCGTGGCCCTGCTGCTCTGCTCTCTCCCCAGCTGGCCCGCTACACCAAGGAGGGCTTCCTGCACCTGGGAGCCCTGGGGACCACCACGCTCCTCCCTGACACCCGCTGCCTGGTGGACAACTCCAAGAGTCGTCTGCCCCAGCTCCTGGACTGCGACAAGGTCAAGAGCAGCCTGTACAAGCGCTGGAACTTCATCCAGGTAAGTGCTCCACGGACAGGCCTGGCAGCCCAGAGCACGGGAGGGTGCCGCGAGCGCCCCCGGGAAGGGCAGCCAGCAAAGTGCAACCCACGGTCTCCCGGCTTAAGGCACATGGACTGCTGCACAGGTTCAGGCAGAATCACTGGGGCCTTTCCCTGTGACACAGCCTTCAGAATCCCTGCAGCAGCGCTAGGCTGGGCTGGGCTCTGATACATCTCGAGAGGGAGTTCGGGGTGATTTCTCTGAAATCTTCTAAATGCCAGAGAGATGGAGAAAGTCAGATTGAGACTATCCAGGACAGTCCCCCATCCTGACACCATCCCCTACCAATGCTTTCACCTGGTTCAGCCACTCAGACTCGGTGAAGCTTATTTATTTTCTGACTTTAGGGTTTCCAGAGAAGGTCCAAAGGCCCAAAGATCCCTCCCTCCTGTGCACAGAATTTTGGTGGGATTGTTCCCCAAGAGGGGCCATGTGCCGGGCACTATGGTGGTTAAATCTCTCTCTCTCTCCCTCTCCCTGTCCCTCCCTCCCCCTCTCCCTGTCTCTGTATCTCTGTCTCTCCCTGTCTCTTCGTATCTGTCTCTCTCTGCTTCTATCTCTCTGTTTCTGTCTGTCTCTCATTCTCTATATCTTTCTCTGTCTGTCTCTATCTCTCTGTCTGTCTCTCCATCCTTGTCTCTGTCTCTCTCTGGTTCTTTGTTCCTGTCTCTCTGTCTCTCTGTTCCCGTCTCTGTCTCTGTCTTTCCATCTCCATCTCTCTGTCTCCTTCTCTGGCTGTCTCTTCTCCCTCTCACCCCACGTGCTCCCAGAATGGCGCCGTCATGAACAAGGGCACAGGGCGCTGCCTGGAGGTGGAGAACCGAGGCCTGGCTGGCATCGACCTCATCCTCCGCAGCTGCACGGGACAGAGGTGGACGATTAAGAACTTCATCAAGTAGTGGAAGGAGCTGGGGCCCTCGGAACCTGGCCCTCGGGACAGGGTCTGCGTCCTCTGGACCAGCCACGCTGGGAGAGAAACAGCAAGGAGTCGGCAGGTGCTCAGTGGGCCTCCCGGGGTTCTCCAGGGCAGCCTGGGGCCCAGATGGAGACACTGCTTCTCCATCAGGCGTCCAGCTGCCTGAGGCTCGTGCGCCCTGGCAGAGCTCCCTGACCCTTCGCTGGGAGCACAGGAGCCGTGTATTCTGCAGCCCGGATACGGACCTGGTACTGAGGAGTGACACACCGCATCTCCTCCTGTCCTTCTTCCCATCCACTTGCAGGACTGGGACAGGCGGGGGCCCCTCCTTTTTCTCATCTCTCGTAGCAGCAGCAGCAGCTTCTGAATTCCACCTGAGCCCTCAACGAAGTGGGGGGTGGTGGTGCTGGGCCACAGCCTCGCTCCCCCTCCTCTGAGGAGGCAGCGAGGCCCTGAGACCCAGTGTCCCCTGGGTTGCTTCTGCCCAGACACCTGTTCACAGCCCAAGATGGCCAGCCCCCAAACCTTTCCAGCAGGTGGCCTTGGACTTTTCTGAACTCCACCCCCGAGATGACCTGGAAGGAGCTGATGCTTCCACGGTCACCTGGGCACTAGGATCCTATGTGCCTGGACCAGCTCTTCCATGTATGTCGTCAGCAGGGAGGCAGAGAGCACGTGCGGTGGTCTCAGCTGTGAGGGCCCCCAGGCTGGAGCCGGGCCCATTCTGCTCTGCCTGCCCAGGCGCCGGGGAGCCCGGACTCACAGTGGCTACCGCAGCGGGGACAGCAATCAGCCCCCATCTGGAGCTTAAGGACTGACGTCGGCACAACATAGGGGGCCAGGACCCTGGAGGATGCTCTCGTGTCTCCCTGTGCTCGGCCAGCGGACAGGGAAGAAGGCAGTTGAGTCCCCTCTGAAGAGTAATAACTTCTTTCTGATTGCCCTCTGGTTAGGGTGCACTTATAAATCAGAGTTAATATATGGACGAGTGTGCATGCGTATGAGGGTGTGTGCCTGGTGGGGCGAGTGTGCTGCTGCCTGTGCGTGCGTGCATGGCGCGTGTGTCTGGGCGTGTGCGTCTGAGTGCACGGTAGGGCAGACGTAGAGGTGTGGCCTTGGACTTGTTGCATTACTGCCAGCCCAGATCAGATCAAGGATGCTGAGAAGCTTGTGGGGGTGGGTTGGCCAGCAGGATGTGACAGGGCTGGCACCCCAGATGGAAGGCTGCCCTTCTGCCAGTTCCCATCTGTCTCCCTCATGCTGTCCGGCCAAGCCCTGCCCAGAACCAAACCCCACACCTGCCCAGTTTGGGGTTCACAGTGTCTCATGTGGTGGCATCTTACTGGTGATCCTTCCCCCCTTTGTGAAATAAATACATGTGAGCACTTCCCAGCTCAGCCTTTTTGGCTTTTCGATTCTTCCAGAGCCTGGGCCAGGAAGCACTTCCTGGGACGTGGCAAGGGCTTCTGGTTTATTAAAGGCAAAGAGCGTTCATTCGTGGGGTGGGGACATGGCCAGCCTGCCCTTGCTCTCGCCTCCCCCCAAAGCAGGACAGAACTTGACATTGGACACCTGCTTGCTAACCCCCTGTTGACCCCAGATTAGAAGGGTCAGGTAGGTGCAGAAAGCTGTGATGCAGAGAAGGGCCGTGGGTGACCTGGCCAAGCGTCCTGACCCGCCTCTTCGTGCTGCCGGCCGCCACTCCTCTCTCGAGACCAGAGAGTCCGTAGTGGAAGCAGCTGCCCCTTCTATTCATGGAGAAGCGAAATCCAAAAAGACGGCAGGCCTTCTGCCCTGGAAATGAGCCTGGAAGGAAATGGGCTGAAGTCCCCTGGGCATTGACAGCCCCAAGTCTCTTCCCTCCCAGGAAGCCAAGAAGATCCGGCTCGTTCGGCGTAACCCAACCCACAGACATGCGTGTCAGCTGCTGTTTGGGGGGGCTCTTTGAGAATCAGGGTCCATGAGCACAGATGGAAAATTCTGCTGTTTGGTGAGGAGGGGTCATCAAACTGAAACATCAGATCCTCGGGGTAACTATTAAGCCAAAAGAGCCAAGGGTCTGCCGGTCCCCCGCGGGGTCAAGGGGGCCTTGCGCAGCATTCCAAGGCGGTGCTTTGAGGAGCGGTCCTGCCCAGACTGAGCCATTCTCCTCCTGTGCGGTTCTGAAGGTAGAAGCTCAAAGAAGACAAATACTCCATTTTACCGTTAGCTGAGGCTTTGAGCCCAAATCCCCCTGGGGTACTCAGTGGGCCCCTGTGGGATCCTTCATCCTCTGGGAAATGGGCCGAAATGGCCTCGGACCAGAGAAGCCGCAAGACCTGCTCTGAGTCCCCCCGATGGAGCTGGAGCCCCACCCTCTGACTTGTTCACTGCACTTTGGGCTCGTTTCTATTCCTAAGGCTGCACCCCTAGCAGACGCACAGCAGGAAGAGCCCTGGAGTTTTCAAGAGAGAAGTGTTGCTTTTCTTCAGGGCCACAAGGCAGCAGGCAGGATGTTTGGGTTTGCCTGTTTACGTGATGGGGATGAGGGTGCTGGTTTAGGGCCATGGGGGCCTCTCAGCCTCCCGGCACAGCATGTGTGCTGCAAATCCTGGCTCTGGCCCTTGCTTCCAGCATCCAGGAAGCCTGGGCTGTCTGTTCATATCAGCACTGGTTCCTCCCAAAGGCCAGAGCCTGAGGCCAGCATCTGGGTCGGCATCCTCATTGCCACACAGCATCCCAGGCGACCTAAAGGCTTGGGGGTGGCAGGCCAGCGGCCAAAGCACAGAAGAAGAATTAACTGTAGCCAGAGAGGGAGGAGAGAAAAGACGAGCAGGGCCCTGGGGAAGCCTAGGGTCTCAGAGCTTCAGGGGAATTTGGAAGTTCCAGAGAAGTTCCAGAGACCCATCCCTCTGCATAGCTCAGGCAGCAGGCTCCAGGCATCGGCCTTGAGTTCTGACAACCTTTGTGCATCTCCCTCCATCCATGCGGTCCCGTCGCATAGGCGCTTCCCACTCTCCTGTCTGGTGGCCGTTTCCTTCTCTTTCATTTTTTCCCCCTCGATTCATAAGGCCAAAAAAAAAAAATCACAGATGGTATTCCCGATCGATGTCCAAGCCATCCAAGCCAACGCCTTTGAATGTTTTATTTCTCGAATGTGTTCTTTATACTGATTCTGGGGGCTACAGAAGAAGAAACCGAAAGGACAGAGAAAGGTGAGTTCGGGCCAGACGTCGTCATCGTAAGCCACGACTCCAAACCCTCTGACTTGGGTTTCTGAAGCCACGTGTTTTTCATCTGCTATTTCTTCCACTCTTCTCAGAAAGGATCCCTGTTTCACAAAGGGCAGAAGTCAGGCCTGGGCAGAGCCGGTGACCCGCACACCCCTGGGCTGTCCGGTGATCGGTCGTCCCTGATTTGTATGCAATCTCCCCTCCTTCCACTTTGCTTTCAAGGGCTGCTCTGAGAAGAACTGAGTGTCAGAAGCCCAGGGATGGACCAGGGAGGAGCTCGGAGCCTGCACACGGAACCAGGTGGTCCACGAAGCCTGGAAAGGCCAAGGGGCCAGAAGCAGGTTACAATCCCCACTCATTGCCAGTGTGCCAGCCTCTTGTTTGGAGTTGAGCTCCAGAGGAGCAGGTGGGCTGGCAGATCCCCAGCTCCTAATCAGCTGCCCCTTCCTCTCACCCGAAGCACAAATCCCTGGGTCTCTCGGCTACTCTGCTTTCTCACTTAGGCAAGTTTCCAGGACCTACATATAGAGACAGGTGGCGGGCCCCGAACTCCAGAGGTTTACTTCAGTCCAGTTCAGCAAATATATTTGGACACCTATTCTGTGGTTTGCTTTTTAAGACTTCCTGGAAGGAAGGAAGGAAGGAAGGAAGGGAGAGAAGTGGAGGGAGGGAACGAAAGAAGGAGGACCTAAAACATATTGAGCAATTGCAAGGCACCATGATGAATGATGAGTACCATGGTATTTACCCTTTAAATTTTATATCTGAATAAAGAAAACAGAAACAATATACGGGGCCTCCCCACCCCTGGAGCCGGGGCAGTCATGAGATGGGGTCTTTGCCTATCGGTGTAAATGGGGTTCTTGGCGTGTTAGCAGATTCCAGTGTTCTTTCCCCAAAGAGGCTCCAGCCAATGGGTAGCTCTTGCAAGTGTGGCTCCCAGCTTCGCTGCTTCTGCTGCTTATTGATGTGGGCCCCCAACACTGTCCAAACACGAAGAGCCCAAATGAGGAAGTGAGAAAGCCAGACAGGCATCACTGACGCTGCCGCTTGTTCCGGGACCCTGGAAACTGTCCGGCTCGCCAGCGATCATCATCCTTAATAAATGGTCAGGGGTTCCTGTTACTCCAGGGTCAAAATACCATCTAATCCGCTCTCCCACTGGATGCCCATCCACCAGTCCACTATCGGCTTGATAAACTCTAGACACAGCTAGTTCTAGGGCAGAAACCTTCTTTCTGACAGTGAACCAAATAAGGTCTGAATATCAGTAACTTCTTCCCACTGTCCGGCCCTCTGGAACTCTGAAAACAAGATTAACTGCCTGTTAACATCTACCTTGCACTTGGGCTTCCCTGGTGGCGCAGTGGTTGAGAGTCCGCCTGCCGATGCAGGGGACGCGGGTTCGTGTCCCGGTCCGGGAAGATCCCACATGCCGCGGAGCAGCTGGGCCCGTGAACCATGGCCGCTGAGCCTGCGCGTCCGGAGCCTGTGCTCCGCAACGGGAGAGGCCACAGCAGTGAGAGGCCCGCGTACCGCAAAAAAAAAAAAAAAAAAAAATCTACCTTGCACCTTAAGTCAGGGCCCCTCCGTGAAGCTTTAATGCTGCTGGTTGTAACAGAGAAAAACAACCTATGTTCCCTTGACGACAGCTTTATCATGGACAGAATTCATCTTTGCCGCCTGGTGAAATGGTTCACTGTCTTGGCTAGGCAGCCACGATCCATTTGCCACAGGCTAGGGTGCTCTGCGGTACCCACTTATCCACGGGGATATGTCCCCAGACCCCTAGTGGATGCCTGAAACTACAATAGTACCAAGCCCTATATATACTGTTTTTCCTATACATACATAGCTATGACGAAGTGTAATTCATAAATTAGGCACAGTAAGAAATCAACAACAATAATGATAACATAGAACAATACACTGTAATAAAAGTTGTGTGAATGTGGTCTCTCTCTCTCTCTCTCTCAGTATTTCTTATTGCACAAAGTTAATGCCCTTTCCATCTTAACTAAGCACTTGTCACACGCTGTGGCCGTAACTTCTGCAGTTTGACGTGCGGCAGCAAATCTAGCTCGGATTTCTTTTTCCTTCCTCACGGTTTCACAGATAGAAGATTCGTTCTCACTGCAGATCTTAGTAACCTCAACATATGATTTTTTTCTTTCCTTGTTAAGTGGAGAATTTTCACCTTTCACCTAAAGGAAGCACTTCATGGCACAGTCAAATTGGTCAGAGTGAGGCTGAGAGATTCTTGGTGAACTTTGTCAGTTTCAGCTGGACTAATCTTTTCAACAAATACGTAGTTCATGGGTAGCTAACATTAGGAACCCTCCCTCAGCCCCGGGAGTCTGGGCTTTTGCATCCAGTGTGAGATGCAGCTTTGAACAGCAGGAAAAGCAGAGCTTTCAATGGTCACATCCAACAGGCACTGGGCGAGGTTTGTGCATCGGCGACTTCAGATGCTGAAATTTCTACAGAGGCACCGCCCTTGGTTAGTTATAAGGCAGGTTTATACTCCAGCCATGCAGATAACAAACAAGAACATACAGGCTGCCATATATACAATTACTCAGCCATGAAAAGGAACGAAATTGGGTCATTGGTAGAGATGTGGATGGACCTAGAGTCTGTCATACAGAGGGAAGGAAGTCAGAAAGAGGAAAAACAAATATCGTATATTAACGCGTATATGTGGAATCTAGAAAAATGGTACAGATGAACCTATTTGCAGGACAGGAACAGAGACGCAGATGTAGAGAACGGACATGTGGACACAGTGGGGGAAGCGGGGTGGGATGAACTGGGAGATTGGAATTGACATATGGGAGGGAGGTCCAAGGGGGAGGGGATATATGTATATATATAGCTGATTCACTTAGCTGTACAGCAGAAACTAGCACAAAGTTGTAAAGCAACTATACCCACCCCTCAAAAAAAAAAAAAAAAAAAAAAAGAATGTACAGGCTGCTCTGCTTAAAACTTTCCCCAGACTTTTTTGCCCTTGAAAATACACAAAGAAGAACGAAAGCTCCCCGTCCTGGCCCAAGTCGCCAAACCAAGTTTCTGGTGCCCAAATTCATGTCTCCGAATTTCTCTGCATCATTCCAAGTCCCAACCTCTCTAATTCAGTATTTCAGATGCTTGAGTAAATGTTTGCCT